CCTCTGTGCCTCTCATTTTGGCTATTTTTAGGTTAACAAAATTATAGCTTTACTAATAACAAACATTTATCAAACACTTGCTATTCTAAGGGTTAACTACCTTAATACTTATAACAACTCTATGCAGTAGGTAACATAAGTATCTCCATTTAACAGATAAGCAAAACGAGAAAAATAGAGGTTAGGAAATTCCCCCAAATCATATAGAGATTAAGACACAGGATTCGAACCCAGATAGCCCAGCCCCTTAATGCCTTACTATACTGCCTGACTTAAGAAAGTGAAATGAACTACATCCTCCAAAAGTCTGTTTCTCAGTTCCTTTCACGTAGGCTAGCCAAAAAAGATCTTGGCTCAGAAAAGATACCATGGGAGCTTGAGGCTTAAAGTAAAAAGATGCCTATGCAAAAGAGGTAAAACTTTTGCATAGCATTGGAGGTAAAATTTGGCTTTTAACCTAGATTGCCTAAAACCTCACATTATTCTTATTTTATTCAAGGCAACTCAAGCAGTGAGCACTTCTTATCACTTAAGTTTCATGTTGGGGTAAATATTAGAGTAAGTGGGAATGTAAAGGAAACAATGAACAAGGGTCATTTAGAGAAGAGGTTACGCATTACTTTCATAAAAAGACACAACAGGCATTAATATACATTCTTCTGTTTTATAGAGATTTCAGTTCTTCCTCTGTTGGTTTTCCTAAGTCTTGCTCTGCCATATGTAATAATCTCTCAAACTACTGACAAATCAACAATGCTCTAGCTTTGTAGTAAAAGAGCTCCCTCTAGCCATCTCTGATCAAACTTGTAAACAAGTTAGTTCTATCAGTTAGTCGAGAAAACACATCCAACTAGCTTAACACAGAACTATATACAAAATTCTGATCCACTGTAGACACTAAACAAATGTTTGTCCTTTTCTATACCCTTACGCCTTAGCTATTCTATTTATATAGCATTTTAGGAATTTTATCACATAAAAGTTACGTATTTTCAAAACCTTTGGCCATAATTCATGCCTTCCTAATCAGGTCATATTAATTGTTCTTAAGAAACTAAATGTTTCTGTTGGCCTATTTTTAACAGTGGTACCAGTGGTTTTCTCTTCTCCCAACTTTGATTGCATCTTTTATCCTCCACATTTAACCTGTCTTGCCAATTATTTCTTTGTGTTTTTTTTTTTTTTTAAGTTATTCCTCTTTCCATTCTGACCACAACAAATCTACTCTAGGCTCTCATCTGTTGTCACTAGTTTCCTTGATTCTAGATCATCAATCTGTATTCTCCAAGGTGTTAATTCTTATTGTTTTGTAAATCAAGTCCAATGACCATCATATCCATTGAGCAAGTAGCCCTTACTTTTCCTGTAAGTAGTTCTGGCTTTTCCTCCTTCTTCTCTGGCATCTCTACCTTTGTCTTCTCTGCAGGCTCATCCTCTGCTATCCAAACATTAATTGTTAGTAATGTCTAAATCTCAATTCTAAATTTTCTTTTCTTCTCTATCTATATTTTCTCCCTAGAGGATTTTCATCTATGTCCTAGAATTCAATAACATAATTGATTCTGAAAATATATCTCATACCACTAGCTACTGACTCAACATCTCCACTTACATGTTTCAGAGACGTCTTAAACTCAACACATGCAAACCAAATTCATGAACTTTCTCCCCCATTCCCAAAAACGAAAAAAACAAAACAAAACAAAACAAACCACCTAAAACTTGACCCTCTTTTGGGGAATGGCACCACTATCTGTTTCTCAAGTTAGAAACCTGGGAGTCATCCTTGACACCTTCTTTCCCTTGCTCCTCACACCAAGATGTCACACCAAGCCCCTTAAGTTTTAACTCCTAAAGATCTTTTGAGCGCTTGCTCTTTCTTCTCTTTGCATTACCAGTAGGTTTTCATGGCTACTTAGCATTACAGTCATAGCCACTCTAATGTGACTAATATAATAACTCATCACCCTACCTTATGTCCAATTCATTCTCCATAGTCACAGGGATCTTTACAAAATTGTACTTCTGATCAGGACACTATGTACTTAAAACTCTTCCATGGCCTTCCAATGTTATTAAGCTAATGACAAAATCCTTAAATATTGCCGAAAAGGTCCTGTGTGACCCAGTCCTTCCAGCCTCATTTCTCATTATGTTTCTTCCACCAGGAGGTCTTTTCACTTGCAATTATGTTTGTTGGAATGCTCTACTGACTCTCGAGCCCCATAACCTTTGCTTTGTTATTGTAAATGCCTAAGCCTTTCCTACAGGTCAAATCCTCCTAGTATATGATCTTATAACACAATATCTCCTTCCTTACATTTAACATAGTTGTAATTTTACATTTATTTATAATTCCATAATGAGAGGAAACCCTTTTTTTTTTTGGCTTATAATTGTAACCCTGAGGCTGGCACATAATATGAATTCAGTAAATATTTTTAATTGAATGAATGAAGTGCAGATTCTATAATCTCCAAGCTCTCTTTCAACTGAATTCATCTTGCCACTCAATTTTATTTTTCAAATTCCCCAAGATAGACCTCCTAATCAATCAAGTGCCTTATTATTTCTTTCCTTCTTACTTCTCACCATACATGTTTCTAGAGCATTCACCTTTGAGACCCTGTTGACCAGCATAGCACCTGGCCCAGAGGAGACACTCAACACATGCTTATTAACCTGAAAGGTATGCTCAAGACCCATTTCCTTAAGAAATATACCCTATCTAATCCCAAACTTCTTTTACTCTCAATTCTTATATTACTATCCTCCGTATCCCACAATCTAGTTCTAATTATATGTTGTTTCATATTATTATCTTCTAATTGTTTTATTTATCCCCATCTCAAGTCTCCACATAGATGATGAATTAATTGAAGGTGGCTACTACATTTTCCCTTAAAGAGCCTGGAACTGTGCTATTTATTAAATAAGTACTTAATTGGGGCCGGCCTGGTGGAGTAGCAGTTAAGTTCACGGGCTCCACTTTGGTGGCCCGGGGTTCGCTGGTTTGGATCCTGGGCGCAGACCTACTCACCGCTCATCAAGCCATGCTGAGGCGGCGTCCCAAATAGAAGAGCTACAACTCTACAGCTATAATACGCAGCTATGTACTGGGGCTTTGGGGAGAAAAAAGAAAAAGAGGAAGATTGGCAACAGATATTAGTGTAGGGCCACTCTTCCTCAAAAAAAAAAAAAAGTACTTTATTGATCAAGGAAATCCACCAAAAATGTAATTTAAGTCAAATTTTATATTAATATCTTATTATTCAGTACTAGGACATACACATTTGTTTTTTGCCTACCTTCTTCCTCTCCTTCTCCTCCCCACCACTCGTCACCTGAGAAAGGTGTTAATGAGCAGGGAAATGTCTAAACTATAGGAAGAAGGAAGAGCAAGACAGAACCAAAGGCTGGGATGATATACAAAATAGAAGTCTAGCTCCTAAATCACAGAAATTTAACCATTGAAAAGATCCTATTCATCAGTATGGAAAACGTAATGAGATTACTTAATCATGTATGTTAGGCAGAAGAAACGAAGAAACCTTATATAATTTTAAATTACAAACTGAACTCTTCAGCAATGAATTTTTCTTTTCTATAAAGATACGCATAGTTTAAATGTTTCCTAATACAATAAGCCTCAATTACCCGGATCACAGAGGGAGGGAGAGCTACCGGTTAATTCAATTTTCTGGTTTGCTGAGGGTGAACCGAAGGCCCTCTTTGTGTTTCAACCTTGTTACTGGCAATCTTTATACGATGTATGAGTCTACTTTTCTGCCTTAGTAAGTACAATATGGTTAACGTTATTGAATCTTCCTCTGTTGATTGAAACTATTATAATGTGTCAGGATCGATTCAAATTGCATTGAGTGTGAGCAGTTGATGAAATCTGTGCTAAGCCCCAGGCACAGTCTGAGAGGTGCCTTTTTGAATAAGTTCCTGATTTCAACTTAGGTGTGCATCTCTTTCTGCAAAGCTTTAGTGCAAAAACAAAAGCTCTGGTTAAAAAAAAAAAGAAAAGAATTTTGGTGACCGAATCTAGTTGACTGATTGATGTGCAAATGGAAGTCAATTGGTAACATTTACCAAAATTACAAATGTATTTACAACTGTCTCAGCAATCCTAACTACTTATGAGAATTTATCCCTCAGATACACTTGTACCTCATGAAACTGTGTATGCATTTTGCAGCATTGTTTGTAATAGTGAGATACTGGAAACATTTGTTGATGTGGTGGGTACAAATATATAAATAACGGAATGATATGTAGCTGTTAAAAAGAATGAGAAAGCTTCCTATATACTGAAATGAAAAGAACTCCATGCTATCTTGAGTAAAACAAAAAGGAAATTTAAAATATGTATTCTTTTTTCATTCTATTGTCATAAAGAAAAATTGAAATAAATAAAAATAGGGCTGGCCCAGTGGTGCAAGCAGGTAAGTGCACGCGCTCCGCTGCGGCGGCCTGGGGTTCGCCGGTTCGGATCCCAGGTGCGCACCGACACACTGCTTGTCAAGCCATGCTGTGGCGGCGTCCCATATAAAGTAGAGGAAGATGGGCATGGATGTTAGCCCAGGGCCAGTCTTCCTCAGCAAAAAAAAAAACAGGAGGATTGGCAGATGTTAGCTCAGGGCCGATAGTCCTCACAAAAAAAAAAAAAGAAGAAATAAATAAATAAAAATACTGCAATGAAAAATAGGTAAACAACTTGCATATGCAATTCACAAAAGAAGAAAAATTAATGGCCACTAAACCTAAAAAAAGATGTTGAGAGTCTATTATGTGTCTGGGATTTTAGAGCTGAAAAATAATCACTATCTTTAAGGGACATTTTGTTACTACTATTTTAAACTCAGAAAACACATTTACACATTGACAAGGAGAAAGAAATCTGTCACATATCTTCATGTTTTAAGAATAATAAGGGAAAGAGGATGGGTAGAGAAAGGCAAAATGTGTTTTGCCATTTTTAAAAGGAGACTCACTTTAATTGCTGAACATAGGGAATAGCCATAATGCTTCTTAAACTCTGCTCGAATGTCCAAAAGGTCAATTTCTGATCTGGAAACCATTATTCGGTTCAGAGTAAACTCATCAGTTCCAGCACCCTATTAAGAAATACAAGTGTCCACATTACAAATCTCATTGGTCACAAAAAATATACAGATCTATATTTACAGGAAATAGATAATGGTGCACAAAATATTCAACCACAGTGACTCTTCTTCACTCATTTATCATTAAACGTCATCATTCACTTATTCAAGAAATATTTACTGAGCACTTCTTACTCTGTGCCATCACCATGCCAAATGCTACAAACAGAAATGAGATACCCCCGTTAAGCTTTCAATTTTATAAAGGATACAGGCAAGAAAACAGGCCATTACAATATAATCTGACATATGGGAAATAGTGGGTACTATGGGATCATATGTTGGGGGCCCTAAAAGAGATCAAGAATTAGGAAAGGTCTGTCTGAGAAAGTGGTATTTAGGCTGGGGCCTAAAAAATCAGCCAGAGGAAGAAGAGGTAGGGTTCATATAGAGAGGAAAAAATATTCCAACAGAAGAAACAGCATGCATGAAGGTTAAGGCAAGAAAGAATGCCACATTCATGGATACATAAATAACAAGAGAGAATAGCAAGAAATGTGTCTGGAAAGGCTAGATCTTGTAAACCAGGAAATGAATTTCTGACATTCTCCCATGTGTGGAGAACTATTGCAATCTGTTAAACATTCGAGTGTTGAGATCAGATCAGATTTGTGGTTTCAGAAGGTATCTTTGACAGCAGTATGAAGAATGGATTGCTGGGCAACAGTGGAATGAAGATAACAGAATAAGACTAGAAGCTTTAGGACCATCTGGAGAAGACTGTGTAACAAAAAAAGAGATGATGATGGCCTGACCTAGGATAATGGCAGTAGGCATGGAGAAAATGGGTAGATTTAAAAGATGTTGTAGGGCCGGCCCCGTGGCTTAGCGGTTAAGTGCTCGCGCTCCGCTGCTGGCTGCCTGGGTTCGGATCCCGGGCGTGCAGCGACGCACTGCTTGCATGGCCGCGTCCCACATACAGCAACTAGAAGGATGTGCAGCTATGACATACAACTATCTACTGGGGCTTTGGGGGAAAAAAATAAATAAATAAAATTATTAAAAAAAAATAAAAAAATAAAAGATGTTGTAAAGGTAGATTGACAAAACTTGATGTATCATTTGAGGAGAATGAAGGAGAGAGAGAAGTGTAAAATTTCTAGCTGAGCAGTTAGGTGGATATTGATACTATTAATTTATCCATTCATTCGACAAATGCTTACTGAGCATCTACTATATGCAGGCATTGTTCCATGTACTGTACATATGGTAGTGAACAACTCAGATTATATCTCTATCCTCATAAAGTTTACATTCTAATGGATAGAGATGGACAATAAAGAAAACTAACAAATTGTTTAAGTAAATAGTAATAAGAACTATGGAATGGAGTGTGACTGAAAGGGAGCCAATGGACCTGTGTAGTCATGGAAGACCTCTCTCAGGAGGTGACATTTGAGTCGAGACTTGACAGATGAGAAGGAGCCAGCCATAGTTCCATCTGGGGGAGGTACATTCCAGGCAGATAGGACAACAAATGCAAAGACTTGGACGTGAAGAGACTTGGCATCATCAACGAACAGAAAGAAGGCTGAGGTGGCTGAGGCATAGTGAACAAGGACGGGGAGGAATGGTATAACTTCAGAGTACAGGGTTAATTCCTGATGGGGCTGTCCACTGAGATGACTGAACACAGGACAGGAAGCAGTGTGGGGTGGGAGGTGAGGTGAGTGAAATGATGTGTTTACTTTGGACTTAACTCTGAAGGTGGATGTGGACTTCCATAGGAAATGTGCAGTAAAGAAACTGAAGTAAGCATCTTCTATGTGCCAGGACCAATGTGAGGGTTTGAAGATATAAAAGAGCAAGAGCACCGACGCACCGCTTGTCAGGCCATGCTGTGGCAGCGTCCCATATAAAGTGGAGGAAGATGGGCACGGATGTTAGCCCAGGGCCAGTCTTCCTCAGCAAAAAGAGGAGGATTGGCAGATGTTAGCTCAGGGCTGATCTTCCTCACACACAAATAAATAAATAAATAAAAGAGCAAGAAAAAACTCCTGCACTCACGGAGTTCACCATCTTGTAGCGACAACAGACAGGAAAACACTGAGTTTCTATATCATGAAAGGCATGATATAGATGATTAAACCATGATTCAGCATGGTTTATTTTAAGTAAGGCAGCTTGAGAGGCCACTGGACCTAATGGGTCAAGTTTAAGGTCTGGCATTCTAAAACAGGTTCTACTGCCTACACTTACCATGAAGTGGGGGAAATAATTTAGTCGACACTTCACTGTACCTATTTCTATAATGATTAGGGTGATCATTATCAACCTGTAAGACAAATTAGTAGGCAAATTGGCTACAAAAAAGAACTCATCAAAATTGAAAAGAAATATGAAAATCCATACATATCAAGCAATATTTACATTCTTCTTGAGGGAAGCTAAGAATGTGTATGAAATTTCCAGACCAACCTTCAGAGCTTGATGAAGTCTTGTAGCTAAAAAGGCAGGCATGTTCCTTGCACAATGAACTGTTATAAAAAGCAAAGTAATGTTCAGTTTCATTTAATAGAAATTGAGTTAATCTATAGCAATATGTTTTTAAAAAAGATTCTTTGGCCAGCTATACCACTCTACCCACTCCCTACTACTGGCTTTTATTTAGAATGAAAGAATGGATGTTTAACCTGAATTTCAAAGCCTTATAATGGACATATTTGCACAGAACTTTAGCCCAGTAATTATCTGTAGCCATGGGGAAAATAAAATTACCTGCCAAAGAAACTCCTACAGCAGCTGACTCATCTCCAGATCCCAGACACACCAACACCTACACTTACATTGATAACTCGCTAGGGTGTACCATTGCTCCCTTCTAGCATCTTTGACTACTAATGAGTAACTTGGGTGTAAGACTGCAGAGATGTTGCTCCAAATAACTCACTAGGTATTTAAAACCAATTAAAAATTTAAAACCAATTTTTCCAATGGAAAGATTTTCTCTTAAGTGACTGGATTAGAATTTACAGGCTGGTTAGAGTAATTATATCAGAACCAGAACCTGTAATCTTAATTCAGTCACCAAAAAAATACTACAATCTTTCAATTCTTTATTTTGAAATAACAAGTAAAGCAGAACCAAAACCAGAAAAAGGAAATTGGCAAAAACACGAGTTTAAAAAAAATTTTTTTAAATTAATTATCCTCTAAATAAAAGTGAAAATAGTCCAGAATAGAAAAGTCTGTAGAGAGTAAACCTATTCACTGCAACACAATTACTTTTACAATCTTAATTCTGATCTTCAGGTAGGAATCTGACCTAAAGTGAATGAATTTTATAATGAATTTTGGAGATCCGAACAAGAATAAGTGGCTTTATCACAGTGGCTTACAGACTCTCTTAAGGCAAGCTAAAAGGCTTTTAGTTTGTGTAAGCGACTTGAGGGAAATAGGAGAAGTGTCTAGAAACTCAAACATGGAATCTGGGACAAACACGAAAACAGTGTTAGATGTGAAGTTGTCTGAGAAGAAACCAACCATTTTTACCTACTTTTTCTCAAACTCATATTAAGCAAGTCTTAATTTGATCAAACGTTATTATGCCCACTTGAATCCTATTAGGCTTTTCAATCATCTCCCTGTCCCTAAACTAAATCCTTATAGAATTCTTTCTTTTCATAATCCTGTAGCTTGTCCTCTGCTTTATGTTCTTAACCACCAGGTTTGTTCTTCATGTCTGAAAATTTGGGGCAGTGGCGGTATGTGTGGTGGTCAGGAAGCTTGTGTTAGCCCCCAACATTGTAAGTAGGGAAACTCAGGGAGTCCATTCAAGTTGCCCATTGTTTACCCTCTGTGTTGTCTTGAACAAACTTTAGTCAGGCCTCTCTCCTCCCCCAGGTCCCTGAACTCTGGCTTGGCCCCAGCCTGAGCAAGCACTAAAATGCAGAACACACCCCCTTATCAGCTTATCCCAAGAATCAGTTGACACAGCGAGATGCGTTTCCCATCAAACCCCAGTGATCATACCCTCTTGCTTGTTCAACTTCCCCTTAACCATCTGCTAAGGTCTGCTTACCCCGCCCTATAAAAGAAAAGCCTTTCCTGTCTGATTTGAGACTCTTGCACATTTCTGAGATCAAAGTGTCCTTCCTATTGCAATAGTCTTTTTGAATAAAGACTCTCCTTATCTAAGTCCAGATTTGACAACTAGCAATGTTCCTATTACACGTCTAAGATGGTACAGCTCAGACGGTTTTTCATGTCAAAAACTATGTGGTGACGTACTGTATTAGCTTCCTTGTACATGAAGTATCCAGAATAGGCAGATATCTATCGACGCAGGAAGTAGAATAGTGGTCACCAGGGGCTGCGGGTGACTACCAGTGGGTACAGGGTTTCTTCGGGAGCTGACGAAAATATCCTAAACTTAGTCTGTGGTGATGGTTGTACAACTCTGTGAATATACTAAAAAGCACTGAATTGCACACTTTGAACAGGTGAACTTTATGGTATGTGTGTTATACCTCAGTAAAGATATTTAAAAAAACTGATGTATTCCAATAAATCTACTGACTGAAATAGAAAATGAAAGTGTGACATATCTTGAACTTTAAATTAGTTGAATTACAAGGTCTTTCTTTTACTTGATAAGATAATGTACATTATCGCCCAAATTTAGTGCATAATTCAACGTCTATTTCCAAGAATCCTTCTTAGCTCAATGAATGAGAGTTTGTATATCTCAATAAAGTTTTCAAATATTACAGCAGGTAAAGTAAAAAGCAGCAAAACTGATGTAAAGATTAACTATATGAAATGGAAAAAAAATTAACTGGCTATATCATTGCCACTGGAATATTCTCAGAACTAATTATGGAGATTGATCTCTATTCCATTTTTTTAATTGAAAAGGAAGCTTTTTTTCTTTCTTGGCCAATCTTTTAGCAGTTCAGTCAGAGTCAACAGTATTTTTTTTTGAGCAGCATTTGGATAAAGAACCCTATTCTTGGCATTGAAGAGAAGATCAGAAGTTAAGTGAAACAACATATGTGGAGGACGCCCTGAGAATGGGGCCTGGAACTTAGTGAGTGCTTGCTCCCTGCTATATTTTCTGTAATTTACTTTAAAATACTTCAGCACACACTGTGTGATATATGAGTGTTTCAGTCTATGTCTATACTGCAGCACATCAGGGTGGCTGATGAACATCACAGACCATGGAGCCCACTGCCTGGGTTAGAAGCCCAGCTCTACCATGTAGTCCCTGAGTAACCTGGGGAAGAATTTCACCTCTTTGTGCCTCAGGTTTACCATCTCTGTCAAGGGGGTAATAAGAGTCCCTAATCCGTGGGATTGGTATGAGGCTTAAATGGGTTGATATTTGTAAAGAGTTTAGCATAGTGCCGACCACATGGGAAGTGGCAGATGAGTGTTTAAAAATACAATATGAGGAATCCTAATTGGGAGTTCACCTCCAGAAGTAGTAATTAACATTTCAAAGATGAATCAGAGGCTCACTCCAAAGGAGGTTACCCTTAGCCATCAGCTATCTTTATCCCACCAGAGGAGCTATTAATTATGATGATGGATGTTAGAAATGATTTTTCATTGATGAAATGACAAGATGTGTGGAGTACAAGTACTCCCACACCAGCAGTAATGGAGAAGAAGCCTGGAGCAAGCCCAGTAACCACTCTAAATTGGAGTGGCTTAGGACTCCAAACAATCCTGTGTACGTAAGAGCACTTAATAGATTTTGTTGACTGACTCTGATTAGAAGAGTCATTGAATCCTGTCTTTGAATAGCGTCTCATTCCTTTGAAAGCATCTTTCTTGCAAGGAGTTCTCCAGGTGCCTAACAGGACAGACAGCTGAGACCTCACTGAAAAGATGGATCAGCTTGCATAACGGTGTTTTTGTCTGCTTGTTGATCCACGTGTCTCTCTAGGAATGGATTCAGTCTGTGACTTTCTTTTTGACATACTCCCTGCTAGTATGGCCAAGGAGAAGGACACCTATAGTTCCGACCTGGGCTCAACTTTGAGAGGCCACTGACATCTTCCAAAAATAACTAAAAATGCTGAATTACCAAATTGGCTTGGGTCTCAGTTTTCAATAAGGCTCAATAAAAATGTTAGTAGAAATGTAATAATTTCATCTCTCAAGTTTACAATCCAAGCATGGTGATAAGCCAAATACAAAGTTAAAAGCAAAGTAAGACCTAAAAGGACAACTTTTTCATGCATCCATTTAATAATATTTGTTGAGCATATTGTGTGTACTGTAGACTGTGCTGGGGGCTGTGGGGAGCTTAAAGATGGATCAGTCAGGATTCTTACACGAAAGGAGCTAACATTGACATCGATTTAAAACAAGTGCAGAGTAACTCAGTTTATAAGCACTCAAGGGCTTACCTATGGCCAGCAGTAAGTCTTCAAAATGCCCAGATAATTCTCCTTTTATGCTATCCTCAATGTTCTTCTGGCTAATATTTTTGTATTCATCAAATGCTAAAAAACAGCACCACAAAAACATTTAAAGCATCTCAATTGACCACACTTGAATATATTCCTGTTTTTGACGTGATATGCAGCAAATCAAGTTGTTAAGTGGCAAACTCAAAAACTCCTTCTTTAAACCATCAAAATTTGAGCATAGAAGTTTTTTTTTCTTTTTTTTCAAAAATAAAATCATCTAAAATAAAACCTGAACTTCATAGACCATTTTCTTCAATGATCTCTCTCTCTCCTCTCTCCACCACCCATCGCTCTTCCCAGGCTGTTAGCATCTAAAATAGCCTGAAAGGTTAAATGATAATTTATCTAGTAAGGTGGGCTATTTTTAAATTATAGCATGTGGGAAATAATAGAGTGGTCATTAATCAAATAGTTTTTATCTGCTCAAGAAATCTTAATTATGAAGATTTTTCTGTGCTGAGTAAATCACCCCCTTAGGCAGCATGGCCTACTTCACACTTACCAGAAGGCGTTCAGATTTCTTGATCAGTATTTGCCCAAAAGCAAAACCTGTACATATGTCACCAAGTATGCAGGCATATTTTGTGAGCCAAGTAAATTTCTTCTAAGCAAATTTTGAAAAAAGAAATTTTGGAGAGAGATCTAGGATTGTTCGGTTTTTCTTTTTCAAATAAAGACATTAATAAACCAACTATTATATACTATTACCCTTATCTTATAAAATAAATAAAATTTTAATGCCAAAATTAAAGAAGGGCAATCTCCGAATGAAAACGTCACAGTAACATCCTTATGCTTCCTCCTTTTTCCATGAACTCAGCATAAGCTTAGTCATGTGCTATGGTTGTTCTCTAGGCTAGCACCCGGAAGCCACAGTCAGATGTTCACAGTAAATGGAGTTCTGGGCTTCTCGATGCTGTTGCTTCCAGAATGGCTCAGGAAGATGCATGAGTGAGGGGGTGGTAGCAGTTCCATGTAACAGTTGGTTTGACAAAAAGAGCTGTCCCCCCTGCCATTTACCTTCATATCAGAAAGAACTGAATTTTATTCCGTATTAATGCATTAAGAGAGAGTTACCCTCAATGGCTGGTTTTCCTGGAAAGTGGCTAACTAGGGAAGAGATGGGGTAGAAGCAATGCCATCAGGCTCTTCCATCCCAAGGGAACACCGTTCTGCTCTCACACTAGAGGGCTGCTCCTTTTTTTCTCCCTGCCATCCCTCCTCCATCTATTATCTGTCACTTACTAGGTAATCTACTTGTCCTCTAGGGGAAAACAAAAAAGGAGGGTTGGTTCTGCCTTGAGTTGGAACACAGCTTCCCCATGTTGTTTTTTGACATGTTTATGAGTGAAAATGGAACAGCCTTTGCAATTTTTAACTTCATTTTCCAGAACTTTGTATATTAAACCCAAAAACATTTGCAAAAACAACACAAAGCAAAAAGGAGTATAATGTGAGTCCATACTTAGTTTCAGGTGAGGAAAGCTCCTTAAACACAGGATCTCAGTGAATTTATCTTCATCCGTGCCCCATCTGTTCTCACCAGCATTATAGAGAATCTATCGGACAAGAGAGGAAGACTTAAATGTTATTATGGACATAATTCTCTCTCTCCCTCTTTGAGCGGGTGGAATGAGAAGAGTGGGAGGTTCACTTTATTTTAGAGGTCAGTGAGACAAGCTATTATTCAAGTCTCTCACTTTTAGCAGACTAGCAACCTAAGAGTTGGCGTGGCAGGAGCCAGGGGAGTAACCACCACAGGGGAAAGCAGAAAGTGGGGGTTGGGTGATCCCCAGCCTTCAGGCTTCTCCTTCAGACCGGACAGGAGAGGACAGCCCCAGCTGGTGCCACAGAAATGAAAAGGCAGTCAGCGGGGAGAACAGTTAAAGCAGATGTTTTCTTTGCTCTGTTACTGACCTGGGCATCCTTTTTGGCCAGATGCTCATCCACTTTCAGACTTTCATCTCTTCTGCCCTAAACAGGGAAAACGAAAACAGGGACAATCCTTTTAAAGACAGAAGATTCTAAGACTCGGTATGTCAACCAGCAGGGCATTTTAGAGGTTTTTCTCCAGCAGAGGCCACGTAGCACAGAGGAATCAGGCATTCGGGGCTCTAGTTCTGGCTCTGCCACTTGATTAGCCATGAAATTTGTAGCAAATCACACAGTTTTCTGAGCCTCAGTTTCTTCCTCTTAAAACCCAAAGATCTTAAGGGAATGAAAAGACAAGCCGCAGAATGAGAGAAAATATTTGCAAACATACATCTGATACAGGACTCGTATTCAAAATATATAAAGAACTCTTAACACTCAACTATAAAATAACAAACAACCCAATTAAAAAATGGGCAAGAGAGCTGAACAGACATCAGATATACAGTTGGCAAGAAAGCACGTGAAAAGATGTTCAACATCATATGTCATAAGGGAATTGAAAATTAAAACAATAAGATACCACTACACACCTATCAGAATGGCTAAAATTCAAAACACTAACACCACCAAATGCTGACAAGGATTTGGAGCAACAGGAACTCTTACTCCTTGCTGGTGGGAATGCAAAATGGCACAGCCACTTTGGAAGACAGTTTGGCCATTTCTTACAAAACCAAACGTACTTTTACTGCACAATCTAGCAATTGTGTTCCCTGATATTTATCCAAATGAGTTGAAAACTTATGTCCACATAAAAAATTGCACATGAATATTTAAAGAAGTTTTAATTCATAATTGCCCAAACTTTGAAGAAACCAAGATGCCCTTCAACAGGTGAAATAAACTGTGCCATATCCATACAATGGAATAGTATTCAGAGATAAAGAAGAAAAGAGCCATCAAACGATGAAAGACACTTAGCATATTGCTTAAGTGTAAGAACTTATGCTGAGAAGGCTACATACTGTATGATCCCAACTATATGACATTCTGGAAAAGGCAAAACTATAGAGACAGTAAAAATATCAGTGGTTGCCAGGGATTCAGAGAGATGAATAGTTGGAGTACAGGACTTTTAGGGCAGAAAAACTATTCTGTATGATACTGTAATGGTAGACACACAACATTATACATTTGTCAAAATGCAACAAGGAGTGAACCCTGATGTATACTATGGACTTTAGTTAATAATAATGTATCAGTATTCATTCATCAACTACAACAAATGTACCACACTAATACAAGATGTTAATAATAGGGGAAACTGTGAGGGGGTAGGAGGAGGGGCATATGGGAACTCTCTGTACTTTCTGCTCCATTTTTCCGGAAATCTAAAACTGCTCTAAAACATAAAGCCTATTAAAAAACAAAAACCTCAAAGGTCACCACCAACTCTAATGTTGAAAACTCTGTGGCTAAGTGTGAGTTTGTGCTTGTGTACAAACACTTCAGGACATTATAGAAAGGTAGGAGATAGAGAGGGAAAAGAGGAGTGCCTGAATTATTTTGAAAATTATAGGTGAATGAAACATCTGACTGTAATATTTTTAAAATGCATTTGTTCCTATTTTCAAACATTAAATCTTTGTATGCATTTGATTTTTGCATGATTTCTTTTGTTTTTTTTCTGTGCGTCTGCCACTCTGCTGTTAGTTTGCCTTCCTCTTGATCTGTTTCATTCTGCACTCTGCTCCAATAATAAAAATGCTGATTACCATTGGTATTAATAATAATAAGCCGCCACCACCAAGTATTGATCACTTCTTGCATGCTAAATACTTCACATACTCTCTCTTTCTCCTAATCTTTACAATGCCCCATGAGGTCTGTACTATCATTATTTTAATTTTACAGATGTGAAAACGAAGACTTTAAGGCTTAAGGTAACTTGCTCAAATACATAAAGCTAGTAGGTAGCAGAGAAGCATGAGATTCCAGGTCTGTTTGATTCTAAAACCCTGCCCTGACGCCCTACCCTCCAGTGCCCCCTGTGGGTGTGTGTGCTCACGTGCACACTCAAATGGATGTGCGCTTGTGAATATAAACCTCTGGGGGCCTATGTTTGCAGCAATGCCTCATAAATTTGGTTTTGTAGGTTCAACCTTCATTAAGGTTTTCACCATTAAAAAAATGGAAACCATAATTAGGATAAATTGTTTCCTAGTGGCATTATGCCTCACTTTGACAAATACTGTTTCAACCCTGAGGCTGAAACCATTGTTAGGATTTTCTCACACATTAAGAGGTGTGTACATCAGCTGAAAGAGGCCAGTGAGACATGGCTTCAATCATTTCCTCTCACACACATCTGTGATCATATCTCATCCTTCACCTTACCACCTTTATTATAAAGTCATGAGCCTCTAAAAAGAGACAGCTAGGTGTGGCCCATTTGGTCACAGGAGGACAAATAGTTCAGCAACTCGTCCAAAAGTGGCAAAGATGAAGTTGCAGCAAGTGTTTTTTTTTAAATCCTGAGACTGATATACCTATTTCTGAAGATCATTCTTTTGTATCATGCTTCCTACTTAATTTAAATGCTAACAAAAGAAATATATATCCTTTGGAGTCCAGAAGAAAATAAACATGTTCTTAAAAATGGAGACACTTATAAGGGAAATGAACAATTATTTTATGTGAGATAAATTATCAGAACATTTTCTAATGTATTGTGAAACCTGATCAAAGCACTTTTTAATCCATATACTGACCAAAACAAGATTTTTTTTGTTACATCATTATGTTATGCTTTTATGATTGTGGTTAAACATTATACTGCTTGGTGGCAATGCGAATGTAAAAAGAACAAATCATTTCATGAGGAAAATTGCAATCTCATTGTCTCACTTTTGTTATTTTTAAACTCCCTAAAAATTATTATTGAGCATGCAGCTTATTGGGAAGTTAAAAAATAAAAAATAAAACCTTACGTCTGCCAAAGTCAACAGAGCTTTCCGAAAGTCACCAGATGTTTCAGAACTAATGTCATCTCCAAGACTCTTCTTATATACTGAAACCAAATAAGAATGAAATTAAGCCTTGACAAACTGAAAAGTATTATTATAAAACAGAGCAAAGCTTAAATGTCAACACTGGTGAGGAATGAGTATCTGATAAAATAAATCTTGCCTCTTTTTAACTTCCTGGTGCGCTTCTGAGATGGAAACATTCTTCTGGTAAGTATTATTGTGTGTGTTGTGGCAGATGCACAAGAACAGAAAGAATTGCCATTTTGGATCAAATTACCATCCCTTTCATCTGACAATGGCACTAAGGAATGCATAGTGGGAGAGATTGGGAGGGCAAGCTGCTAGTTTGCCTTCCAATTTCTATTACCTCCTTTTTCCATAGTAAAAGAACCCTGACCTTGATTAAGATATAATGCACACAGCTTAAAGACTACATTCTCAGCTCTCCTCTTAGCTAGGTACAGCTCCATGACTAAGTTCTTGGCAATCAAATGTAGGCAGACATATGTGATATTGCTGGGGAATCTCCTTAAGGGATGGCTCATGCCCATCTTAGTCCCTTCCTCCACCTTACTGCCTGGTATGTAGACTGATACTTGGAGCTCGGGCAGCCGTCTTGGACTATGAAGATAAGGACTACATCTTAGCGATGGCATAAAAGTAAGCAGGAAAGGGCCCGGGTTCCCGAAAGTTTTGAGGAGCTATCATGACAGGCCTAGAATTGCCTATCTCCAGACTTCTTCTACCTATGAGAGAAATACACTTTTACCTTATTTTAGCCACTGTTATTTTTCCGTCTTATTCAACCCAACCCTAATCTTAATGCATACAATTAGGTTGTATTATCTGACATCTCTCAAAAGTAAGAAAGATACCCTAAAACATACTATTTTCCCATAACAAATGCCAACTGTGTGTTCATACATTTTAGTACGGACTAGGTGTAGCTCCTTTTGCATAGACTGTGATGTGCAGTGTCCATTGACTTTTAAATCTCTGCTCTGGGCCGGCCCTGTGGCTTGGTGGTTAAGTGCGCGCGCTGCAATGCTGGTGGGCCGGGTTCGGATCCCGGGTGCGCATCGAGGCACCACTTCTCCGTCCATCCTGAGGCCGAGTCCCACATACAGCAACTAGAAGGATGTGCAGCTATGACATACAACTATCTACTGGGGCTTTGGGGGGAAAAAATAAAATAAATAAAATCTTTAAAAAATAAAAATAAAAAAAAAAAATAAATCTCTGCTCTGCTCCATCCATGGAGTAGTGATTCTCTTGGAGCCACTATACACCTGGATGTAGCTGACACCAGACGGCTATTTGAACTCTGCCTGCATTATTATCAAGAATTCTATAAATTAGTCATATGAATGCTTGTCATTTTAAATCAACAAAAGACAATTATAGAACTGTGTTGAGACAGAAACTCTTCCAGCATGATTTTAGTAAGTCTCTTTTATGAAATCTATAATTTTCTAAAGCAATTCAAATAAACAAAATCCACTATAAATATAAATTATCTAAGTAACAATAGCATTTAATAAACATCATTTTACCTAACAGCCATGATATTGTTACATCCATCCTTCACTCTAATTAGAAAAAAATTATAATTAAAAAATATCAAGCCAAAGAATAAAGCTCTCATTTGTTAGAATTTGGGGAAGTATTTTATAATTTTAGAATTATCTGGATGAGACTTTATAGTCATCTCATGCTGCTTCTCCATGCCTCCCTTTACCTCAGATATTTTTCAGGAAATTAGACTAAAAAAATTAAAATTATTTTAATGTAAATTGACAACTATTTTATGCCTTTTGAGGCACAACAGAGTATAGAAAAACAAATGGGATATTTTCATAGTGCAAGAGCCTGAAGCAGAACTTAGAGTTCTCTATCCCTGATTCGGTGTTCTCTCATACACCATTAACACTAGAATACCCGAACAAGTTCAGAATTTAGCTCTCCGTTTATTTAGACTCTATTGTGTCATTGTACCAGATGAGCCAACCAAGGCGTCTGGTCCCTTTCCGAGGGCCAAACTGATAGCCTCCTTCGATGGGTTTCTTATGCACGGGTCACCATTTCACATCATATGACACTGTCACCCTTGCTACAGCTGACTGCAACAGGGTTGGCACCACAGGAGGCCAGTAGCCTAAGAGGCAATCTGGGGGAAGAACTTTGCCCAAAATAATGCTCTCCTCTAGACAGTGCCTTCCTGAGTCCATTGAACCTTCTCTCTTAGACAGTGAACAGAAAAAGAGATAACAGAGTAACAAAGAAGTGGAAAGACCCCCAGAAAGAAGGCACAAAACAGAAGCCAAGAATAACCAGAAACCAGGGGCAAAAAAAAGCCTTGAGCAGACAAATACGTGGCAAGGGGAGAGAAGTTACTTGGTGGAGTCAAGAACAGCAGAAGCGGAGAGGGAAGAGCGCCTGTAATGGAAACATCAGTACAGGGAGCAATGCATGCCTGATGCTGACAGAGCGACAAGACAGGTGAGTCCCTAGGGGACTGCTGTGTCCTGAATCTCTGTGAAGCTGGGGCTCTACATGATTGAGACTATTTCCTTCTTTTACTTCTGTGTATTATTAATCCCTATTAACCAAGGTAACCTAGATGCAGTTCCATTCCTTATAGCCTTAGAGAGCTTAACTCACACAGAAGTCAGGTGTCTGCTAACTTTGAACTATGATCACTTGTCATATTCACAAAACAACAGTCCTAAACGCTACAATTTTCACTTGGCTCTTAAAACTCCAATCTCAATCTTGAGGATATTCATTCAATAAATATTTGAATTTGTCACCCACTGTTCTGGGCACTGGAGATACAGTAGTGAACAAAACAGACAAATATCCCCACCTTCGTGGAGCTTACATCCTAGGGCTGTTTGTACATAAATGCTGGACTCCAGGGAGCCATTACAGGGCAGCCAACTCACAGAGCAGTACCTCCTCTAAGAAACACCAGGAAGTGTCAAACCACCTTGGGACAGAGCCCCTGGCTCTGATGGTTTTTTTTATAGGTAAATCTTATTGAACTGAGGGAACCAAATATTTTAAATACCTACAATGTACCCATTTGTGTCTATTATTGAGCAATTATCCCATCTACTCCGAATTCACCCTTCTGTACCCCGCTTTCTGGAGCTGGGACTGGGACTCTGCAAATTACATTTCTCTTTTGCACCCCTCTTTCCCCCAACTCCCTGTTAGGTTCCACCAATGGCAGGGCTAGAGGGAGACCGGCAGAGGAGGAGGAAAGAGGGAGATGCTATTTGCTTGCTATGCACGTCAGTGTCGACCCAGTGAAGGGCTTTTATCCTGACAGCAGCAGTTGGCTCCAGGCTCCCAGAACAAGTCACTTCGCACCCCCATGCAGGTACCAGCTCGGCCAGATGGAGCCTTTTCCTAGAGATCTCAACTCCAGGTCCTTAAGCATCGCCTCTGAGCCCCCGAGGTACCAACACCAGCTAGGGGGTGCCCCTCCTCTGAGCTTCTCGTTTCTGAAAACCCCAACCTCTTTCTTTTGTTGTCCAAGCCTAGGGGATTAGATCTCTCTGCTACCCCTGTGTTCCCTTTCTGATTTTTCAGGTCTCCAAAAGCTATGTAAGCCATTCTCTATATTAAATGTGCTCTGTTAAAATACCTAGTGTGTTTGTTTCTCTGACTAGAGCCTGACGAGCACATCAACAAAAAAACAGTCACTTACCTATCATTGAGGTATTCACCTTCTAAGGAGAATTTCTCAAAATACCCTCTCTAACACCCATGGGGCCAGTATATACCTTCTTTGGACTTCCACTACAGAACCTCCCTGATATGCAAACATAGAAACCATGGTTCCCTTAAGGTACTCGGAGAAGGTTGTTGTATAATAAAGAACTGGCTGGTCTTTGTCCCTGGTTCCTGGGAGGTAACCTCTAAATCCTTGGAATTTCACAAATAATGAGAATGTCTTTGTTATTCATGGCAGGTCCCATGAATCACACCTGAGTTTATGCTAACAAGACGACTCAGGATGGAGGCTGGTCACACCAGAAAGATCAATCATGTGATTGCAGGGTTGAGGCTTTGAGCCACATGATATCAGCCTGACTGCCAGGGAGAGGAGAGGGACTGACTGGAGATGGAGCTCAATCATGTGGTCAGGGATCCAATCAATCATGCTACATAATGAAACCCCAACAAAAACTCTGGACACCAAAGATCAAGTGAGCTTCCCTGGTGGTTATCATGTGCTGGGAGGGTGATGCATCCCGAGGACACGGAAGCTTTGCATTTGGGACGCTCCCGGACTTCTCCTTGTGCATCTCTTCATTTGACTGGTCCTGATTCATATTAAAGTACAACTATCATTGTAAGTATAATGCTTTCCTGAGTTCTGCGAGTCATTCTAGTGAGCTATTAAACCTGACGGAGTAGGGAGAACCCCTGAATTTGTAGCCATTTGGTCAGAAGTGCATGCAGCCTGGGAACACCTGAGCTTGTGGCTGGTGTGTGAAGTGAAGGTAGTCTTGTGGGGACTGCCCTCTAACTTGTGAAGTCACGCTAACCCTGAGAAGCTAGTGTCAGAATTGCATTGCAGGGGCTTTCTAATTTTTACACAGCTAACAGACTACTAGGACTTTTGCTAATTAATCCACATGCTCAACACATTCTCTAAATGGTTCATCTAATTTCACACACCAAAAATCATGAGGCTCACCTAAGTGCTTTTTAACACATAATATTAATATACAATGATTTGAGTCTCTCATATTAATGAAAATAGTTGATTGAATTAAGCAGTGATTGCCAAGAGCAAAATCCACCACAGCTGTAATGTCATATATGCAAAGCATTCATGCCATTGTTTGTAGCAGTGTCTAGCTCAGATCATATTCAAATTTTCTCTGAAAACCCAGAGAGCTGTAAATCTGAAAGCTGAAAATCTATTTACAATCTATCCTCCTTTTTATGTCTTGCCCTCTCAAAAATGCCTTGTGAAGAAGAGATTGGTTGATTTCTGGGAAAAGCAACACTGCTCATTTATGTGTGTACAGTCATAAAGGTAAGCAGAAAATAAGATTACCTGTGTAGTAGGCTTGTGAGATCTCCTTCATCTGCCTGCCCGTCCTGGTGGTTAAGATTTCAATCAATGCATCCTCATTCGTTCCAGTGCCCTAAAAAGGAAAAGGAAATCTATTTTTAGAACACTTAAAAAACGTAATTTCATGCATTTCAGTATTAATATCTTGTTTCACACAGATGAAAAGAACAGTTTTGAGTAAATCAACATAAGGTCTTACACTGCTCTAATGTAATTTTCTAATTTTCCATATATTTTAGTATTTAATTAAAATGAATCATCTGGAGTTAACTGACATCAAAATTTTCAATAACATTTCCAACTCTAATTTAAAAATCAATCAAATAATTCTAGGAAGAAAAAATAGAAAGGGAAAAAAGCCTATGTCATTCCAGATCAGAAGTGAGCATTCAAACACGTCATTACATTTAGAAAGGGCTCTGCAATTCTTTTGAATGGGTTCATCCTCGCACTGGGTTGGTCAGCATGCATCATCCTCCTCATAAAGCCTCACTACTGTGTGTCACGGGCTCAGTTGGTTTGGGGACTAGTTAACCCTGAGCCTTGGTTTATAGTGAAGTCACTGAATCATACTGTGACTCCAAGAGAAGCCATTTATACTAGGACTTGAACAAATAAAGCCAATGTAGCACAAGGACAGAGACTGAATTCTGTCTTTCTGTGGCAGAGATTCCTAGTTGCCCCCAATATCTCTCCTATTAAAATTCTATTAAAAAATAAAATAAACTTTATTTTTTTAGAGCAGTTTTAGGTTCACAGCCAAGTTAAGAAGACTCAATATCTCTTTTTTCTTCCTTTCTTAGTAATAGAATTCCCAATTTTTAACTTAGCACACGGCTAGCCAAATAAAGACAACATTTCTCAGCTTCTTTTAGAGCTAGGTTTATCCATGTAATAAATTTTGATGGATGGAATATATGTGAACTATCATGTACAATTTCTGAGAATCCTTAATGAGAGGGGACAAATCCTTCTTTGTCCCTTACTCTTTTTAGCTGACTCGGAAGAAAATACAATGGCTGGATCTTGAGCTGCCATCTTTATCCTAGAAGTGGAATCTATAGGCTGAAGATGGCAAAGCCTCAAGATTGAAGGAGTCTGAGTCTCTGATGATGGTAGTACCATGACACCTAGCTCTGCACTGCTTACTCTGAATTTCCTTTGTGTAAGAAAGAAATTTTTCTAAACCTTGTTGGTGAATCTAACCCTTATTATTATACCCGCTAAATTGTCCCCCATGTGGCAGCCACAGAAATGCAATGCTCTGATTTTATTTCAAGAGTGTAGTTGGTTGATAGCCTCCAACTGCCACACCTTTGGATCTGCCACACAGTTCACACTGAGGTCATGCTCTCTCCAGGCTGCTCTCCGCCAACGACTGAGCATGGAAGGAGTACTAGAGCTGGGCCATTTCTGCCCAATGCAGGACTCCTCCAAAGGGCAATGTTTGCTCAGGGGTCCCTCATCAGCCTGCCAAGGCTTTCTCAGAGCTGCACTATACACTGAGGCTCTTCATATCTGAGTGTACTTCCTTCCCTCTCTCCTTTCACAGGTGTCAGATCAGCATTGCAATCTGCAGGTTCACCCCACCTACCCTGCTCTGTCTCTTCTTTACCTTTCACAGGCATTTCCCCTAGTAAATCTCTTGGACATCTAATTCCATCTTTCCATCTGCTTCTTGGGTGCCCATACCTCTTCCACAGAAAAGAAAATAACTCCTATCCCTTACAGAAAGGCAGAATATGGCTTATGCATCAGACCCACACTCCTTCCTCTCCCTGCTTCTGATCAACAAATATGTTGAGCACCTACTTCATTTCAGTATTTCCTCTAGGAACAGAAGAGACAGACTAAGACTGATGAGGTTCCCTGTTATGACGGAAGTCTGTCTTTCAACTGGATGGAAAAAAATAATTAAAAAATGGACAAAAAAATAAACATGATAATTTTAGACAGTAACAGGTGTAATTAAGAAAATAAAACTGAGTGAATTAATAGAAAATATCTGGAGGAAAAGCATTCCAGATGGAAGGAACATCATATACATAAAGACCTCAAGATAGGAACAAGCTTAGAATGTTTGAGGAGCAGAGAGAAAGCCAGTGTAGCAATGTCATTGAATTGGGGTGGTGGTAGTGGGAGGAGAGGGTGTAACGGTCAGTTTTATGTGTCAACTTGGCCAGGTTACAGTCCTCAGTTATTTAATCAAACACCAATCTAGGTGTTGCTGTGAAGGTATTTTGTAGATATAATTAAAGTCCAATATCAATGGACTTTAAGGGAGATTATCCTAGATATTCTAGGTGGTCTGAATCAATCAGTTGAAAGACCTGATGAGAAGAGCTGAGGCTTCTCTGAAGAAGAAATTCCACATGTGGGCAGCATCTTCAGCTCATGCTGGGAGTTCCAGCCCGCCCTTCCTGACAGCCTGCCATAAAGATTTCAGATTTGCCTAGCCAGTCCCATAATCATGTAACCAATTTCTTGCAATAAATCTCTTAATATATATCTCCTGTTCACTGGTTCTGCTTCTCTGGGGAATCCTGACTGATACAGACAGAATTTTAAAAAGTCACAGAGACAGACAGGAGCCAGAAGGTGTTGGGTGATGAAGGTCATGGTAAGGAGACTGGATTTTAAGTATTCAAAGTCACTGGAGATTTATGTGGTAATAGTACAATCTGATTCTAAAAACAACTTTATAGGAATAATTTTGGCTGTTCTGTGGTGAATCGATTTGAGGTAGGCAAAAACGGAGGTGGAGGGACCAATTAGGAGGCTATTGATATGGCCCAGTCAAGAGATGATGGTGGTTGAACTAGAATGGTAGCAATGGAGTCTGAGCGATGTGCGCACATTTTTGACAGATTTTGGATTAGAGCTAATGGACTAGCAGGTAGATTTCAGAACGTTGAAGAGTGAGAGAAAGTGAGGGATCAAAGACAATACTAGGTTTTGTTCTAAGCAATGGAGTTAATGATGGTGCCATTTACTTTCAATGACAACAAAATAGAGAATTTGACACCTCAGGTCAAAAAACAAACAAACAAAATTAGGCTATGACAATATCCTTTCAGCCCAGGAACATATGGGCTCAAGGTTCCACAACTGCTCCCCATTTCAGGGTTGTTCTACCAATTGGAGAGCATAGAATCAAAATGACGTCCAAATCTATCATATTTACACCCATATCTCAAGTGTGCACTGGAAGAAAGTCACTATTTTTGATGACATAGTCAAATCTTGGGCAGACATGGCTTATAGTGGGTTCATACCTTCATGGATTTCTTCAGCTGCTTCGCATCAAACACAGCCGGGGGAGTCACGAGGGCCACCATGACATGCTCAAAGTTGCCAGAGAGATCGCCCTTCAAGTCATCTTTCAGTTCCTAAAATAAAAATCCCCAAAAGGCAAGTGTGAAATACTTTTCCTTTCTCCTTCTCTAGAGCCACCTATTGAAAGATGAACATATGTATCAGTTCAAACAAAAACAAGCCCATCCTCAAGGAATAAACAGAAATGGTGAAAATATTTCTATGGACATTAATCCGCATTTTTGATTGCTTCCAAAATGTTCTATTTTATAGAAGGTTTTCTGAAGGAAAGCCAATGGAGGGGGTTCCATGGTGCCAGAGACAGGAACTGTGTATTAACATGCTTTTCCCAGGTCCTTGATGCTCTCAATGCTTGGGTTGGGGTGAGGGAAGAAGAAGAGGAGAAGAAGCCCTTATAATTCACACCCAGCTTCACTGGTAGGTGCTCTATTCCTGTCTTGCTTCTCAGTGACTGCCAAAGAGAGAAAAGGGAAGGGAAGACAGTGGTTGGGCATTTGCTCTGGTGAGACTGTGGAACTAGGAGGCATCAAAAAGCAGTTTTCTGGCAACAACAGCAGGGGGAACCCTAAATGTGGCAATGGAGCAGACGTGACTTACTGTTACTGGCCTTTGGCACTGTTTTCACACATTACATAAGTACAGCCCATCTCCCCTGCTTGAAGGCAGGTAACATGGTTTCTATTTTCAATATTCAAAGGAGTGTTATTGAATAATTATTTTTCCTGCTCTTGATTATTTTCAGCTATGAAAGAGAGGCTGGCAGCCTCTCAGATTACTATGACAATGTGGGTGAAGACCAGCATCTACCATGCCTCTGGGTGGCCCAGCGGGGCCATGCTCCTCCAAACCAGTGGAATGGAGCCAAGTGTCACTAGCACTGCTTAATTGCCACAGGTGTTTCCTCTCTAAATGCTAAATTCAACCAGCATCTGTCCTCAACCCAAGACTTTCCAACTGAATCTTATTTCACATGCTCTCCTTCTATCCCACCGTGAGAAATGGTTGTTACCCTTCACCTCCATCCTTCTTCCATATTTTGGAAATCCTGAAAGGCCAGTGGGTCATTCATGTTCCCTATACATGGGTGTGTTGCCTTGCCTAGAAGCTTGGCAATTCATTTAATTCTACAAATGTTTATTGGGCACCTGCTCTGTGCTGGACCCTTAAAGGTGAGTTAAACACAATCCTTACCCTAAGAACATTATGCCCTAATAGGAAAAATAAACATATTCAAAGATAAAATTTCAACATAACATGTTAAGTATCTGATAAAGGGAACACAGAGGAGGTGTCTTAATGGAGTCTGGTGGCTTGGAGAACACTGTCAAGAGGTAACGCCTGAGCTACCTTTGGATGGTAGCTAGACACTCGCAGTTCTCACCCGGACCCAATAGCCTGACTGGTCTCTGTTTCCACTCCTTCCTCTCCACAGTTTGTTAGTCACAGCAGCTGAAATAATCTTTTAAAAATATAAATTAGTTTATATGATCCCCTTGTTTACAAACCTCCAATGGTTCCCTGTTGTTCTTAGAATAAAATCTAAATTCTGTACCAAACCCCAAGGCCCAGCATATTCTAAACCTCTCTCCAACCTTATCTCTTCCCTGTGTATCCCTTTACTCTCTACACTCCTGCCATATTGGAACTCTTTCTGTTTCTTAGATATTCCCAGCTTGCTTCTGCCTCAGGGCTTTTGCATTTGCTGTACCTTCTATGTGAAATGCTCTTCCCCCAGATCAAGCAAAGCAGAATCCTTAGTATTGTTTAGTCTTCATTGAGAGTAAGGTAACAACCCCTCACTGACATGTCTTCACCCCTGATCTAAAGGAGCCGTTCACCAGTTGCTCTCTATCATATCATCCTATTTTAATTTTTTCATAGCACTTAGCAATATCTAAACTTATTTTATTTACTTATTTATTATTTTTCAAGTAGTATGTTAGCTCTATGAAGAAGAGAGGATCTGCTTTTTATACCAGTATGTCTCCAATGTCTAGGATATCTCCTGACACAGAGTAGTACCCAACAACATGTGTTGAACAAACAAACAGTGTGGCAAAGACCAAGTCTAACTTGTTCTTGTATAGTTAGTTTCTGGTACTTAGGAAGTTTTCATTTGCTGAATGAATTAAACCTATAATTACATAAAGATTTTAAAATTGGAAGAGGAATTAAAGATCATCTAAGACAGGATTTATCAGATAAGTGGTCAGATAATTCTTTGTCGTGGGGGCTGTCTTGTGCATTGTAGGATGTTTAGCAGCATCTCTGACCTCTACCTACCAGTTTCCAGAAGCATCCCTCTCTCTCCCACCAGTTGTGATGATCAAAATGTCTCGAGACATTGCCAAGTGTCCCCTGGGGAGCAAAACCACTGCTGGTTTAGAACCACTGATCTAAGGCGGCAATCCTCCTTATTTGACAGGTGATGAAATTGCGGCCCATAAAGATCCAGTAACATGCCCAGGTCCATTCAGCCAGTTAAGGGTAAAACCAGGACTCATATTACAGGCTGTTGACTGGATACACAGGGCACTTTCTCTTACACTTGGCTTGAAGCAGAAGATCTGTGGGCACAATCCTTGTGGAGCATCCCTGGTCCATTAGTGATGAGCTCTTTACTGCCTGTTACGTTAATCAAATTGTACCTTTCCATATGCCGCCTGATATTCCTTAACAATCAGCTGCCGCTGTGCCTGCGACCGCTCAGTCAGAACGTTGATGAGTGTTTTCTCGTCAGTTCCTAAACGAAACAAAAATAATTTACTCACCCTCAACCCAAAGATGCTTAATACCTGTCATGAAGAAAAGAAAAATTATTAATGATCTGAAACAAATGTAGAGAGGAAGACATTTTATTTATTTATTTATTTATTTATTTTGTGAGGAAGATCAGCCCTGAGCTAACATCTGCCAATCCTCCTCTTTTTGCTGAGGAAGACTGGCCCTGGGCTAACGTCAGTGCCCATCTTCCTCCACTTTATATGGAATGCCACCACAGCATGGCCTGACAAGCAGTGCATCAGTGAGCGCCCGGGATCCGAACCAGTGAACCCCGGGCCGCTGCAGCAGAGCGCGCGTACTTAACCGCTTGCGCCACTGAGCTGGCCCCCAGGAAGGCATTTTAATTTTTAATTTCCAGGTTCTCACCAGGTTGGAATCTTTATTCCTTTCTTTGCTTGGCTTTGGGAAAAAAAATTAACTTTATTTGTATAGTTTTGAGGGAAGAAGAAAATCATTGTCCAAATATTCCTATCTGTATATGATAGGAGAAGTAGCAAAAGGAATGCATTGCTTTTGAACTAGTTTTTTTCACCCTTATGAGGTTCAATTACTGTCTTGTCACCTTTTATCTTACTCTTATCTCCAAACTTGATATCAGAATCTTTTTTCCTCTAGAAAAAAAGGAACCAACATTTATTGAGAACCTGCCGTGTACTAGGCACCTTTTATTCATTGTCATAGTTAATATGCACAGGGGCCTGGGCAGTAGCTATGATGTCCTAAAAATGAAGACACTGACACTTAGTGTCTTGAACCCAGATCTCTGACTCCAAAACATATATTTCTCTCTCTGGTCCATTCCTCTCCCAGGCATTCCAGATCCACATACTTAACAACATGTTGTAAGTAAAGGGCTGATGCTGGCCTGCCTGAGAATGACCTCAAGGTCACTATTTTGTTGGTAATTATAGTATTAAGATAATGTGGGAAGTTGTGTCAGCCTCCTTTGTAGTAGAGAACTACACCTGGGTTGGGGAGCTGTGTCGGTTTGCACACCTCGGGCCTGCATGACTAGAATGGTATAGAAGGTCAATTGGAACTCAAGGCTCAACTTCTCTGTGTTGAGATGACCCCCATACACTTTGGCTACACATGCCTGTGGCAATGGTACACACTCTATGTCACTGATGGGGCAAAAGAAACTGTGTACTTGGCTAGCCCCTGGACCTCCCAATGAAAGATGCTGCCCCACTGTATCTCTGGTCTTGTATTCTTCTACATAGTTAAGTAACCATAGAATTAGATTACAGCGCAGTTGTGCCCTGTGAGTCTGGTTGTCACTTGGACCTGTAACGGCATCTGTGTTGGTACACAACTAGATACCTCCAATTGCACAAGTATCTCAAACTCAGCATGCTCCAGGTTGAATCCATTCTATTTCCTAACTTGTCTTTCATTCTATGTTCCCTCATCAACGATACCACTATAGATACAGTCATCCAACCAAAAATCCTGGGAGTCACCCTAGAATCCTTTCTTTTCCTTACTCCTTACATTTTAACAAGTATCTGCATCTCTTGAATTTATCTTCTCTGCATGCCCTTTGCCACTGTGCCCTCATCATTTTTTTACACAGAAACTTCAACAGCCTCCTAACTTGACCCCCCCTATAATTCATACTGTATATTACAGCCTAAGTAAATACTTTTAAAATGCAATGTGATCATGTCAGTCCCTTGGTTGAAATCCGAATGGCTGTCTGTAACCGTTAGGATGAAATTTAAGCCCCCTAGCTCGTATACAAACTCATTAAGATCTAGCTCCTGCCTCATGTCTCTGTTCTAATTTTCCGCGCATTCCCTGCATCTATATACCCCATACCCCTAGACTCCAGACATAACTAACTACCTGCTGTTACATGTAGTTTGTATGCCAGGCAGTTTCTCATCTCTTATTTTTGTGCATGCTCAAGACCAGGAACTAAACCAAGCTGCCTCATGCTTCAGAGACTGGATCTGACACATCCCTAACGCAAATACCATTATGACACCTGGCTCTGGGCTGAGAACACGTCAGGAGTGATGCTCACAAACAAAAACCTCCTTCTCAAAGAGGGCCTGTAAACCAAAATGTAAAAATTCGTGAAGAAACATAACGTTAAGAAAGAAAGACAAGCAATAGAATTTAAAGACCATCAATTCATTCAATTTGACATTAACCTCATGGAACAGTCCACTCAACACTGAGTACAAATGGGGAAATCAGAGATAAATGAAGAAATAACTTGCATGGAAAAAAAAAAATGAACCCCAAACAGGCAGAAATAAGATAACATTACACTGATATAAAACTCTAATAGTATATTTCACGGAACTCGACAAACTGACACTAAAATTCATAGGTGAAGGCAAAGAGTCAACAATAGCTCTTGCCCTACTAGATACTATGTCATTATAAAATTATAATAGTAATTATGACAATGTAGTATTGAGACAGGGAGAGACCAATGGAATGTAAAAGAGAACAGAAAAATACAGAAACTTATAAGACAGAGGTGGCATTACAAATCAGTGTGACGAGGATGAACTCTTCAATAAATTGTGCTGGGACTGTTAAGTAGCCACATGAGATAAACTAAAATTAGATACCTTTAAATACCATGCACAGACATTAATTCTAGGTAGATTAAAGATCTCAATGTGAAAAATCAGATTGCAAAAATTTGGGGAGAAAATACAGGAGAATATCCTTATGAGCTCATTCTAGAAAAGATACAATAAATAAAATCATAAAGAAAAATATTGTTAAACTTGATTTCACTAAAATCTAAAAGTTGTATGCAAAAAAATTACTATAGTCAATGTTAAAAGAAAACCACCGACTAGGAGAAGATATTTTCATGGCTTGTAATTAAAAAAAATGTTTTGCATCCAGAATTTATTAAAAAAAATCTTGCCAATCATGAAGACAACTCAACTGAAAAATGGACAAAAGATATGAAGAAGTAATTAATGGAAGAGAAAGCAAATAAACAAGAAAGGATGCTTAAGTATCAGTAACAGGGGAAGGGGAGAAGGGAGGAGACAAACACAGAATGAGGTATAATTTTAGACCCACACAATTAGAAAAGATCAGAAGTATGACCTTAGCAAGCATTGGTGAGAATATGGAGCAATATATGAAGAGGTCTCATACATTGCTGGTAAGAATGCCATATTTGGCAATATTTCTAGTTAATTTGAAGATAAACATCCCCTTTGACCTAGAGATTCCAATTGTTGCATTCTAGAAAAATGCTAGCAAATGTGCACAATGGGACATAAGCAGGACTATTCAATGCAGCATTTTTATATTGTAATAGAAAAGAATTGTAGGCAATTTTATGTTCCATCAATATTCCCATTTTATGATATAGTAATTCAATAGACTACTATACAGTTAAAATTAATGAACTAGAGCTAAACTTATTAACATGGATAAATCTCAAAAACATAATGTTAAGGGATAAAAAAAATTGCAGAAGAATGTACACAGTATGATTCCATTTTATACCGTTTGAGACCATGTAAAACAAAATGTACATACAGATGTAGCTATGGAATCAAAAGTTTCGTGGGAATAAACTCTAATTTAGGAAGGTGTTTATCTCTAGGGAAGGGGATGGGAATGAGATCCAGGAAGAATCAACATGGATGTACATGTAACGATTTATTATTATGACTATTATTATTGTTGTTGGTAGCAGTGATGGTGATGGTAGTTTTAGCATTAAGTAAATATGGCAAATATTAAGATTTAATAAAACTGGGTTCCCTATACTTTTCTTCATTATTTCACAACGTTTAAAAGTCCCTTACAATTTCTCCAATTGAGTAAGCCAACTTGGTCAAACTGAACCTATGCACTCTTAGACTGTAATTTTCCTGATTTGCTTCAACATTAAGAAAGGAATTGTAAAGCATTACTCACCAATCCCTCTGATTGCCTTACGAATTGCTTCAGCATCCACTGATGGGCTAAAGCCTGGATAATCTCTCACGGTCCCCCGTTGTCCAACCTAGAAGGAAATATTTGAAAATCCTACTACTTCAAAATGACATCTTTGTTTATATTACACATGCATGTCCCCATGTGCATATTGGAAACATATAACAATCCCATAACTTGCACACCTTCCTATCACTTCAGGAGTGGTTCCCGAGTCTCCTGTCCCTAGACATGCAGGAGTACGACAGCTACCACATACACAATGAGGCCTCTCCTTTTTTTCTCTTGTGAAACAAATTAGAAATATAAAACATTCATTCTCTAGAGAAATGAAGTGTGTTAATCCTGGTCACTCTGAAAATATTTAGTTTAAAGTGGCATCTGCATGAAAGCAAGGAGAGGGAATTTCCTACATTCTCTTTGTTTTCAAGTGGTAATTCAAAGCTCTTTACTGCATCTCATACAGAAGTAATTGTGGTTTACAGACTTCAAGATGTTTTAATTAATGTTGACTATTGTCCTTGGGGAACCCTACAATAAAGGATCCATAAATGAAAACCCCATTAGGACTGTCTGTTCTTAAGCTTTGTTTAATGGATGTGCAACTGTGGCTGATAAATTCCCTTCTGAAAGCTCCAATGACATAAATCTTCAGGAATAGCATGGAAATGAAAAATGCCGTGATACTAATTTTAAACACATAAATCAGAAACAGAACAGTAAGCTGGGAAAGACCATCCTACAGACAGAATAAAATATCTTAAAATTGCTTAAGAGACTATAGAACAGCCACAAAGATGTTGAGAAAAATTCAAGTAAACACGTACTTACAGCATATGGTATTTCCTAACTCTTTGAATAAAAGTCTGTCTTTACAGTAATAATGTTTTCTTCCTAAACTGATTTTCCTATCCTGCTACTGAGTAACAGTGGCTCCGTTATCTTGTGTTACTATGGCTTCATTTCGGCTCTCCTGAAGTGCTTAATATTTTCATGTAAAGATATTATCTTGTCACATTAAAGTGAATGGAAAATTAATGTTCTTCCACAGTAAAAAATGATGGTCTGTTGATTAGATTGAACAATTTGTTTCAGTACAATCAAACATCATTTAATTTTAAAACATCCAAAATAAAGAGTTTTGATTCTAAGAAAGTAATTATAATGAGTTAGAAACTAGATGTGAATGTGCCTGATCTAACACCTGTAAGAAATCAATCGCTTCAACATAATCTTTGGAGAATTCTCTTCTCCAAGGCTTAATAAATATTTTATGGATTCACAGAGCCAATTGGCTTCATTTCAGTTCTATCCACCTACCAACTTTAGTGTTTATCTTAGGTGTCCACCTTCCACGTGTGGCATTTCAGAGGAACCACTACAATATTAGAGCATTTGAGTGCTTCATGCCCAGGGTACTTTATATATGTTAATTGTAACCTGCATGTCAGCCCTGATGAATGAGTAACAGTGACATATTTCACACACTAGACACCAAGGTGTAAGAAGATTGGAGGATTTGCTCAAGTCCACATAGCTAGTTAAGCAGCAGAATCTGAATTTGAATGCAGTCATGACCATTCCAGCCCATTCCTAGTCTTTCTTGAAATGTAGTCTCTGCACCACCTGGGGCGATTCTTCAAAATGCATATGCCCAAGCCCTGCCATAGACATACTGAATCATACTCTCTAAGAATGAGGTGTTAAGGTAGATGCTACATGTTTAAGAAGCTCCCCAGGTAATTCTGTGCCACACAGATATTTACATGGTTGCTTCTGAATACAAGAGGACAAAATTGTAGTCAGATTCTAACTATTTATGAATTACGAAAACCCAGGGTTTTCATTCTAGCTGTGACCTTTTCACTGCCCTCTACTACCTACACATCCAAATATGCTGAAATTCCAATGTGCAAAATTAGAGAAGAGTGAAATTCCAATCTGTTAAAACAACTTGCTACCTGGTAAGAATTAAATGGAAAACTACTCGTTTTCTTGAAAGAAAAAAACTACACACACCAACTTGAAAAATGGCATGGGGATTCTGAAGTGGAATCTTAGCGAAATCTTTCAAACTGCTTCAGTTATTTAAATGAGCAGTATTATTCATTTGATAGACTTGATTGTCCAGAACATTCAGAGATATTTACATGACTTACAAAAAAAAATTTTACCGTAAAAGAAATTAACAGAATCTTTTAAACTAATACATGCCAGGCAGTGAACCAAGTTCACTTATTTACCGACATCATTTTTAACACTTACAATGACCTTAACAAGGTGGATTTTATTATTTCCACTTAAAAATGGAAGAAACTTGATCTCAGAGAGATTATTTACTTAACATAACCCTGCTACTAAGGACAGCCCCAGAATTTGAACCCACTTCCTTGTGACTAAAATGCCCTGTGCTCTATACCACATGGTAATGCCTCAGGGGATTCCATATTAGGGGTTCTCAAAGTGTGGTTCCCGGATCAGTAGCATCAGCATCACTCGGAAACTTATTAGAAATGCAGATTCTCAGGTCCCACCCCTGTCTTACTGAATCAACAACTCTGGGGCTAAGACTCAGGATCTGTTTTAACAAGCCCTCCAAATGATTCTAATGCATGTTCAAGTTTGAGAACCACTGCACTGTTTCATTCTTAGATGCCCAGAAACAGAAACAAAAATGAGCAAACAAGTCATAGATTCTTTTATGGGTGTGGAAGAAGAATTTGATGATGAGCTCATTGTTTCAGGAATGTTGGCATTTTTACAGCCAAACAAAACTGCTTGCATCTCCTGCCTCACTGCAGGCTTAATTCCTTGACATTTTAGTTACTAATCAATACTTGACTTAGTTTATTTCCACTAACCCTACGACCCTAACAAAGTGTCAGTGCTAGTGTAGGACATCGCATGAACACTTGGCAAAGCCTTTTTTTTCCCCAAAAAAATCATGTTTGATCAGATTTCCATCCACATCCCTTAAACACATTTAGTTGCTTTCTTTTTCTCAAACTTGACCTTCAGATGCCCCCAAAGGGAAAAGGATCCCGAAACCAGTTGGCAAATAAATTAAAGCAAGGAATGTCTAAATAAAGGGGGAAAACAACAGGAGTTCTTTACATTAATAACAATTGCTGCTACTAACTATGTGCCAAGAACTGTGCTAAGCACGTTTCCTGCATTAGCTCATTCAATCCTCATGACAAACTTACAAGGCAGATCTAATAAATGCTCTTCACAGATGATGATGAAACTGACCCTTAAGTAACTTGCCCAAGCTCACACAGCCAGCAAGTGGTCAGTCTCACCAGTCTTTGCTCCTAATTACTAGGCTAGGCTGCCTCTCACTTGATTCACCTTCTTCATGTCAATATAATTTTCCCTGATCTTGTAAAATTATCCTTTGGTGGTCGGTCATGGCATGGGAGGCCCTAAAGCCATTGGTGTGGCCAAGCGGGGCCTGGGGAGCTGTCTGCTACTACCCCTGAGAGAGGCCAGTCTGTTCTTGACTCACAAAAGCCAGTCATACCTCCTTCTTCATGCAAAGCTCACTGGGCTTGCAAGAAGTTAAACATTTATGTTCAGAAGAATGAATGAAAGAGAAAAACACAACGTGCCAATCCTGTTGACAAGAAACATATTTAAAGCCAAATGTTCCAGAGCAAGAATAGCAGCTGCTGCAGGTACATTTGGAAGGTGAGGCAAAGCCAAATCACTCATCACTTCATAAAGCCCCGTGAAGGCCGTATCCAAAAATTAAGCTTTCAAATCAAAGCCTCATATAAACCTCCAGGACTCAGGAACTCGCAAAGAGCCAGAGAGAAATGATCGCTCTCTGCTCAATGTCAAAAGAGTCTGCTGGGTCATGAAGGTTTATGATAAAAGGAAAAACGGAATAGACTAAAAAAAATAAAAGCAATCAAAACTTTGGAAAATGTAAGACTTCTAGCTCAATTTTTCAAGTAAAAGGTGGTTTTCAAAACCAAAGAAAGTTTACTGTAAAGGGCCCTGAAATGAAATATGGTCAAAAGAGGCGGGTGTTATGGGTTGAACTGTGTCCCCCCCAAAAAAAGATATGTTGAAGTCCTAACTCACAGTACTTCAGAATGTGACCCTATTTGGATATAAGGTTATTGCATGTCTAATTACTTAAGATGAGGTCATACTGGAGTAGGGTGGGCCCCTAATCCAATATCACTGGCGTCCTTAGAAGACAGCCGTGTGAACCCAGAGACTTACAGGGAGAAAGAGATGTGATTATGAAGGCAGAGCTTGGAGCTGTGCAGCTGCGAGCCAAGGAGCACCAAAGGTTGCCAGTCAACCACTAGAGGCGAAGAAAGAGTCCCCTCCAGGCTTCTGGGGAGAATGGCCCTGTCAACACCTTGATTTTGGACTTCTAGCCTCCAGAACGGTTAGAGAATAAATTTATCTCGTTTTAAACCACCAAGTTTGTGGTACTTTGTTACAGCAGCCCCAAGAATCCAATACAGCAGGTAAGATGCCAGAGAAAAGGATTAGTGACCACTCTGGTCCTGCAGGGCAAATACTAGGGGCCTTGTCTCCTCCCACAGGCTGGCAGTAATCACTAGACAAACAGAAGGCTCCCCATCACCCCTGCAGGCTCTCTCCAGCCCAGGGGCAGCAAAGAGAAGCAGAGGATGGGGAAAGTAGGCATTGGTGTCTCACGGACGCCTGACTGAAGCGAGGCTGACACAATGGCTTTGTTTGCAATGCGACCAAGAGGTCCAAATGAGATGTTTGTATTTCTTCTTGTGCTCACTCAAATGAGAAAAGATTTGTACTTGCCAGTTTTTCTTTTCTAAATACAGTGATTTCATCAAGGGAGTGTCAGAGCAAGAGCTTTGGAATGTGATAACAGAGAAGGGTATTGGGCTGGAGTAGAAAGATGAACGTGATTCAGAAATTGGGGAAGATAGGGACAAACAAGCAATTGGTGTTGTGTTTTTCATGAAACACAGATTATGATGAGGAACCCTGATTCCTCAGAACCATGAGTTACTCATGGCTAACCCAGCCGTACCCCTGCCTTCTTTTGGCTCCTGGGCCTCACCCCCG